TCTTTAACGTGCACAACTTGCACTTTCACAAGGGACCTCCGAGATTTTTCGCCCTCATCCGAGAAGGTTAGGTGTTGGATCTTACCTACCATAATGTAAGGGGTGTGGGCTGAAAGGACATCGTAAGAAGGCGCAGCCAAGGAGTAGCAGTAGAAAGGCTGCAGAAAGAGTCAGGAGCCCAGAGGAGGGGGCAAAGGAGGCGAGTGGGTTGGGATAGAAAGTGGAAACGAAAGTTCAAAGCAGACAACAGAACAGTGTTAGAGAGTAGGGAAAAAATGTGAAAGAAGAAAATTTGAGATAAGAAAATTTTCCGTCGCTATCCGGATTCAAACCGGGACCTACTGAATGAGAGACAAACACCACATAACCTCCCGACCACAAGACGAGTCCACCTGAGCTACAGGATCAAATCGGATCAAAAAATGAAATGCACCGAAGCAAGCATATATAATTATGTCAATGTGAGGCATCATAATGAAATCAGGCGCTCGTCAAGACAATGAAATCGAAGATGCCGGCATTTTTTCGCCGGTTTGGCAATTCTTATCTTCATTTTTTTTTCATTTTTTAAATTTTTTTTTTTTTGGGGGGGGGGTTGGCTCAACATCTCTTATGTTTATTTAAATAAACCTTTCTGTGTGAATTTTACGTTTTTAAAAACAGTGATGAAAGACACAAAAATGTACATTTTCAGTTTCAAAGGTTTCTAAACTTTTGGAAGTCGTCAAACCTAAGCGGACATTCAGGGTTGGAGCCTGCTTCCTATATGATCTAAATTGCGTTAATGGGGACGTAGTAGCACCTTTTTTTTAACACCCGAAAAGTGGTGGTAAAACAAGACACTCAGTGGTCTACCCAGAAAATAGAATCGTAAATTAAATATATATATGTGTTTCTTGGTGGTATTTGCAATATACTTGGTATTTATTTGTTTCAAAAGATAAGCTGATGAACCCTTCATTATTAGAAAACCAAAGAGAACCACGTCTTATTCAGGTAAGTTTTCATGACTTCTGAAGTGATTAGGCCCGTACAATACAAACATTACAGGTTAAAAATATGTTAGCTCAGAAGACACTCTTAA